TGACAAGTCTCTAAATGGACTAGAGGAGCCAGGAAAGCTGGTCTGCTGTCAGTTTTTCCTAAACTTAAGTCTAGCAGAGGAATATTCCAACAGACTGGGCACAAAAGCAGACAGAGAATTTGCAGCTATGGGTCTCAGGAAAAAAAAGAAAAAAGAAAAAATATAGCTACTAATATGGTATCGATGGACCATTCAACCAATAAGCTGTAACACTTGAGGCCGATCAAATGTCTTCTTATGGAAAATAAAGGTCTTTTTCACCATTACTCTTACTGTCATATGTTATTTCATGTACAGCTGCTAAAAAACCCTGCAACACTTACATAGGCTGCAACCAGAAAACATGTATTCTAAATAAATGTGCCCTTCATAAGAATACTTCTCATTTTCAAAGTTCCTCAAGAATGAGATTTTCATTAAGCTTTATTAAAACCTTTTCAGCTGTAATTTCATATTAGCCCATTTTAACCAGTCCAAAACATATTAAAAATGACATGTTTAGGACTGCTGAGCATTTACTTGAGGCTGCAACAATAACACTGAAGAGCAGAAGAATTAATTCAAACATTTCAGGGCTTAAATGCTAACAGTTATGTAAATATACAACAATGAATTCTATTTTCCTCTGAATTGCAAGCGACCAAAAACCCAGTTGCTGAATGATGAAAGAAATGGGCCTGCTTGTTTCCAATTTGAGCAAGAAAGTATCAACAAAAACACACAGCAATTACAACTTTTAGCATATCTGAATGGCTGGGGTGGCATTATAAAGCATCGCAACTGCAGCAATTCAGCAAGCTCTCTTGAAGGAAAGAAGGGAGAAATGCTAATCTGTTTCTAGAAATCAGTTATGTGATGTGTTCCTCCATTTAAGTGCTGTTTTCTGAGTGATCCAGCATGATTTGACGATATTGCTCACTGTGTCCTGATGCACCGTGACACAAGCAGCAGAAAGAACCTCTGTTCCCACCACGACCAAATACTTTTGACACCAGAGAGCCTTTTCATATTTCTCTTTAACCTGTGGCTAAAATTTCAGCACAGCTTCAGTACATACCCTTACAACCGCCCTCAGGACGGCAGAAAGATATCACGCCCCTGTTCTGAAAGGGGCGGCTTCCTTGGAACTTCAAATATAGAAAGATTTTCCCCATCTTCCTATTTTCAACAGTTTCAGAAGAGACATATAGAAACCTTACAAACTGACTGACAGCTAACAAAGACAACAAAAGATAGAAGTCTCTAGATTTAAAATAGCTCTACGTACCCATCAGGGTGACAGCAGAGAGGAGATGTCACGCAACCCACTGATTTTGCCTGGCATTTGCTTATACCACGTAAGGGAAGTAATGGACAGTCTGATTAAAGCCATACCTGTGGCCTATTACGAAGAACAGTTTAAGCAAAGTAGTCAGTTCTTCATCAGGACTCCCTACGCAGTGGGAGCCAAACTGTGTCCTTCAGAAGGCTGTGCCTGGGCCCCAGGAAGCCCTCCTGCTGCCCCAGAGCTCCATGGTGGACGGTGCCACCCAAACCATGCACACTTGTGACAGATTACTACTGCAGCCCCGAGTGGGGCAGTTCTCAGGTGCTATCAGACCCTCGCTGAGCACAAAATCATTTTGTGTTTTTGTTTGCATGGACAAAGGATTAAAGAAAAAAAGTCTGCACCCTGAAGATCCAGCCTCCTTCAGCATACCCTGAAGAGTCTCCTGTGTCATGAGAAACTAATTGCATGCGTTAAGGGAAGCCTGTTACTTTGGCTTTTTCCACTGTACATCAAAAAAACTATGTTTGATTTTAAAGCACATACACTTACAAATACTGAGGGAAACGGCTACAAAGAGACCACACAAGCTGTTCCAGTCTTCCACAGAAGTCTGGGGTTTTTTTCAGCGTAAATACACAGCCACCTCTTCAGTTTGCCCTTTCATCTATTCTGAAACACTTCTTAACACACACACTTCATTTCCTAACTAGCTGATCATATACAAGTTTTGGGCTTGTAGCTTTAAAGCGCTGAAAAAGATGAAGGTAAAACACAACCTTGATCCTGGAACAGAAGTCAGCAAGGATATTGTGGGTGTCTCACAAGTCACAGAGCTGGGAAGAAAGAAGCCTGTCCTGACCCTGTGTTGAAACCTGATCTAGTTAAAGAGGCACATGGATTCCCATTTATAGCATTTCTCAGGGGCTGGGGTGAGGGGCAAGGAGGGCTGCAGACAGCCCTAGGTCTGGCTGCAGGAGCTGCTGGCTGCCAGCAAGGTTATAAAACATGCAGATGCTGGGCGCCAAGGAAGGATGGTTTTCCTCCCCCTGTTGCAGGGTACCTTCCACGCCACTGCTGTGTTAACCACCCCAAAAGCACACCTCTCTTCAGAACAGCAGCACTGTTTGTTCACAGGCTGGGAAGAAAGGATAAAAGACTGGAGACTGGGGAAGAAAAGGCAGGCAGATTTTCATCTGACCCTGCAGTTAATGCCCCAACCAGTAAAGATACACTGATGGGGCCACACAAGGTTCTGCTTTGCTCCCAAAACCAACATGCACGTAACAGTGTGTAGTCTGGTTCTCTACAGGCGAACTGGAAATTACTCTTTGTGGTACCATGTTCATTTTGCCAGCTAATAACCTGTCTCAAAGAACAAGGTAAATGTCTCCAAGCTGGAAATTTACGACACTCTGACAGAGAGATGAGTCTCCCCCAAGAAGTTGGTCACAGTTGGTTTCTGTCTCTTTCTAAGCTACAGCGAAGGTAACAGCACAAGATTTTGGAACTACGAAGAAGAACAGAGCAGTCTCTGTGCTAAGTTCTTCAACAACAACAACAACAAAAAGCAGCAATTCCTCTCCAACAAAACTATAAGTATTGCCATTTTCACCATAAAAAAAATTTCTGCTACATACTTTTGGTGTCCAGCCGCTGTCTTGGTTAACTGCTCTTTTTCATGAGTTAAAAACAAAAGCATCCCTATTCTCTTACTTGAGCCAAGTCAGAACACAGACACCATGAATTCATGAGTGTGCCCAAGCAGGACACCTCCTGGTCAGGCATCCTTACCGTCTGACAGAGGAGAGTGGCTGTGCCAGCATGGCCCTGCTCACCAGGAAACCCCGAGCTTTCTTCCAGACAGGATCAAACAAAACTGAGAACGCTCCACAAACGCAGGAAAGTCTGACCTTACCCCTTCCTTTCAGCCTTCATCACTGAAGAAATATCCCAGCTACATATGTAAACCAGCACTATGTATAAATGAAGTTAGTGGTTTAACTGACAGAGCACCTACCACATAGGCAAAAAATATCTCCTTAATACTGTAAGAAGTGTAATTTGATATTCTTTTATGTAATTAAAGTAATACAAATTCTCTGTGTACAGAAACTGACAGCTCTAGAAAAAGGAACTAAGCAGCATCCTCTGCTTCCACTTGATCTAAAGGTCTGTTCTTACAGCTGTAAGGCTGTATGTTGTTCTGCAAGTCACTTCATTCTTCATCCTGTGGGCTACGATGTCCAAAAAGCCCACCAATTTGTGCCAGTCAAGGGCATGCTTTTTCTGAACCAGATAGTTCTTCATAAGAAACTGGGATGAAATCCCAAAATTCCTATTTCCCTCAGGCCTCTAAAGGGCCATGAGATGCATTAACTTTCACCACAGAGCAATAAAAGAGAGAGTGAGCCACCACAGACCAAGGCAGGATTATGACCAGCAATTCTTCAGAGACAGATTCCTATTTCTGCTCCTTGACCTACAAACTAGCTTTGTTTGATTTATTCTGAAATCCTTTCTTACAAAAAAAAAAACATGGAGAGAAAAATCAGCTGGTTTAGGCATACATCCTATTCTTTTTTTATACACCTCAAAGCACCTGCACGGCCATACTTGCAGATAAACACACATTTTCTGTTCTTTGTATTTCAACACATTCTAAAAAATATAAACTTCTAATAATATCTAGGCAAATATAACAAAACATAACGATGAAGAATGCTGAAACTATGAGAAAGGAAACAATCACAGAATCAAAGAATATTTCAAGTTGGAAGGAACCCATAAGGATCATCAAGTCCAACTCCCTGCTCCTTGTAGGACTACATAAAACTAAATCATGTGAGCAAGAGCATCATCCAGACGCTCCTTGACCTCCAACATGTTTGGTGCTGTCACTACTTTTCTGGGGAGCCTGTTCCAGTGACTGACCACCCTCTCAGTGAAGAACATTTCCTAATGTCCAATCCGGAGAAGAATGGATGTGAGGGGAGGATACATGCTGTCTGCAATGCCAGAGAGCAAAGCTCACTAGGAAGGGTAAAGCAGGGAAAGATGGCATTTGCTCATTCCATCCTCGCCTTTGCCGTTTCGCTTGGTTATAAAAGCATGCAAAAGCAGAATTATGGGGGGGAAATCTGTAAATGAGACTTAGACCCCACTGCTTTTCAGTAAATTATAAGGGCTCTTCACCTTTGCAAACAGATGCTTCTGAAAATTTTACCTTGCAAACAGAAGTTTTTACATCTCTGTGCAAACTGATTAACCTGAGCACTTGGAGTTATGCCAATCACCCAAGTTCCGAGTCTCGAGGCAGTGCAGGTCTCAGGTCAGATACTGGATTAGAATCAAAACTGGCCCTTCAAAATTTTAGATTGCTGTGCTCAGAGCACAAGTACGATGGCTGCCCGCTGTGACACCTTCAGGGCAGAGCTGGCAGGACTAGCACCACTCTGCTTTCAAGCTGAGACAGATTTGTTGAGTCTCCAGGCTTTCTTAGATTTCTTAGATAGGTGAAAGGGAAAGTTTGGCTTTTGAGGTTTATACACCTCAGAAGCTTGAAGCAGATATTCTTATCTTCAATGAGATTTACAATGTCTCATTCCTACCGCTCTCCTCCCCTCTAAAAGGCAAGGATATTCATGAAGCAACAGGTAACCATCACGCACAACACACCCTGCCAGACAACATACAACGTGGGTCTGGCAGCAAGGATCCCCCCTCAGCTTACCTGTTTTATGCACTGCAGCCGGTCATTGGTCTGCTGTATGTGCCTGTCCATAGAATTCATTTTGATTGTCTCCACTTTCTTCTACCTGAAAGCCATTAAAATCCCTCGATCTGCAAGACAAAAATGACAGTAAAGATCAGTGAGCACAATCTTGGAATCATAGAATGGTTACTTCTATCACCTCATCGAGCAGAGCCTCTTGCAAGAAACTCCTGAGCACTTTGTGAGATAAAATAGTAATAATCCAAAAAATAATGACAGCCTGGCTTTTCCAAAGACAAGGGCATGGGAATTCTTCCTGATCTTCTTCTAAGAGAAAATACCTCTCATAAATATCAAATGAATCAGATACAGCAGAGGCCAAAAATAACACAAAATGTGTTATGAAAACTCTGGATTTCTGTATTGAAAATAAAAGCAGCAGGTATACTTTGGATTCTCCTCCAACTAGCAAATCTATTTAATGAGCCCTTGAAATGGACAAGATGACAGTGAGTGAAGGACTGGGATTCACAACTCAACCAAGGCTTTTTAGAATGACTTACGATTCCAGATTCACAACCTCCCATATGTGGAAGAGGCCTGACGTTAAGACCAAAGGACTGAGCAGTTCTTGCCTTCTAGAAAAAGTAGGCGCTTTAAGGTATCCATAGCTGAAGAAACTACTTGTTACTTCTGGAAAAACATGTCCTGCACTCTTTAGGCCCATCTCTAACAAACTGTGTAACTTAAGGCAAATTAAAACTTCCCCGTGACCTTAAAAAAAAAATCCAGAAAATGGAAATGAAGGCTCAGAGTGGTGTTAGGAGTTTTAATTCATGTTATTACAGCTGTATAAAATCATCAAATGAAAACTGGCAACAAGTTATGATGACGTAAAGAGCAAACCTGCAGACCCCTAAGCCCACCACTGATGCTGCTCACACTGAGTTATGTTTGTGGATACAGCCTGGTACACGCTGGTGCCATCCAGACGAGCCCTGCTCTGTGTATTCGTTAACTCTTTTTCAGAGCCATGCTTTACATCATACTCCATGATCACACATAAGCAGCCCTTTGTCAAGATAACAGTATGTGTCTGGAATCAAAAACAACGCCTGCAAGACGGGGAAGGGGTAGGTGTTAAATCAGCATGCACACACGATGCTGGATGTGCCTTATCCCTGTGTTCAGACTGGGGTAAGGAGTTAGCTGGAGCACAAACAGCTCCACTGATCTGTCGAGAGCCTTATAGTAAGGCTTGGCCTTATAGTTTTCCTATAGTGGCAGAACAGCAGATCATAAAGGCAGAAGCCAACAACTAATTAACAGATTCAGTCCATAATTCATCCTACCAAACGGTTTGTACCATGACTTCTACTTATTTATGTTGTAAGCAGAACTGCATGAGGCTCCAGCCTGTACTTAATAAGCTGAAGAGTTTTAAGTGTTTTTTTTCTAGAATTCACCTCTCAGGGTACAGAGATGTTTCACACATACATATGTATACTCTGCTGTTTCAATCACTTTCACAGCATCTACAATGGAAATGAAACCATAGATACTGAGCGCTGGAACATGAAAACAGTGTTTGCCTACACATTCTCCTATCCTTTTACTGCAACAGAGGGGTACGGTCTAAGGAGTTGTATCCTCACGCTCCTGAACAGGGAGTGGGCACAGATTCACATATACATACCCAAATGCTGTATTTATATAAAACTTCACACTAGCACAAGCAAGGTCCTGGACTCACACAGAAACCTCTCCCTCACGAATCTCTTCAGTGGCACCGAGCAGTTTGTTACCCAGAGAGCTGTTCGTAACAAAACTCTTTTCCGCTCCCTCCATACACATAAGAGACAGCAAATTTTTCAGAGAGCTGTTCCATTAGAGCAGCTGGCTGCTCACCACTCCTGCTACACAGGACTCAACATCTCTTCAGTTAAAGTCCCTCTACCAGTCCAGCACTGTCCATACTCAACCCTCAGGAGGAGAGGAGTCTTCCCCGCAGTGGGAACCCTGGCTGCACGGCTGTCACGAGGAGACAGACTCCAGACCACAGCATCCGTGTGCATCCCACACATCCAAGCCTCCCGAGATCTCTGTACCTAGCTGATAATGTCCTTCCATGGCTCCTGCCGGATTAGACTCAGGGAAAGAAATCTTTTCTGCTAGACAGCTAAATGAGGTCTTATAACAGCAGCTCAAGCTCCTCATCTCCACACTCTAGACACAAGAGGGTTCAATAAAGCACTCCTGTCAATAAATTATAATACTTATGAAATGGAAAAGCCAGTTTCACATACAAGTATTATCGTTTGATTATGTCACCGCCACCTTCTCCATAGCAAATACCATCCAAAGGTCCTTTAGCAAATGTAAATTGATATATTTCATTAAAAGCAAGTAACACAGTCTTATCTGCCTGTAAGACCCCCAAACAGACCTCAGTAGTCATGAAGTTTAATCTCTTAGTGGACAGCAGAGGTATTTATCAAGAGATAAGCTAGCCCAGAGATGACACCACTTGAGCAGTGATCCATCTTACAAGCTGGGACACATTATCTGCATTTTAATTGAACATCAGGGCAGATGGAGAAGGGCATGTTGAAAACAAACACAAATGTACACTTGCATAGAGATTTTTGTTGAAATATTTGAAGAAATGCCAATTGAGGCTGCTTTAAAAAACAAACAAAAAAAAAGTCAGGATATTTTTGCTTAATGAACCAGCAAGTAAAATACCATATCTGTGGTTGACTTTGTGACACAGTTTTTGTCTGTTTTGGCATTACCTATTTAACCTTCTCAGTGCCCTACAGCCACATAGGGAAACTGGGAGCCAAGGTGAAAAGACTATGCCCAAGCAAGAGATACACACAGACATACTCTATACTGCCAGAAAACACAATCCTCAAGTGAAGCCAGATACACCAGCACTCAGACTGATGGCTAGTGGCATCAGGAGCTGCCTCTGCTGTTACTGGCAAAATACTTCAGGGCTAGGAGACTGCAGAGAGGTTTTACATGACAAGGACTTGCATTCATGTACTGCCACTCAAGCCAACAAACTATCCTGCACATTGATTTATGAACTGTACATATAATACCACCCCAATTCTCTGCCTTCCAGTTAACCATAAACAAAATAGAAGGTTGCTATCAGCCACCTGAACCACAGCTGACTATTGTACTTGTGCAAGTCATCATTTCTCCCACGCAGCAGAGCTTCTCAAAGCCCGTTTGGAAAAGCAGAGGGCAGAGTGCACAGAACTAACTCGCACGACTGAGCAGGAGCCCGATGGGGCTCTTGAAGGCAGGACTGGGAGCACAGTCCCCTGCTCTGCTACACAGATACAATTTCTGTCATAAACTCATCAAATTCAGCCTCAAAAATAGTTCTGCTTCTAACACCCAGTGGCTCACACCGAAAAGCGCCTTCTGACTCTCACCCTTCCCCAAGTAACTGGAAGTATTTTCAGTTCCATCGTCAATTTCACTTGTTCTCACGTCACTAGTGCTCTCTGGCTTTTGCCCTGCCAGATTCTTTCCACCTCTGCCCCCTCACTGCACAGACAAGACACCCACCAGCTCTTCACCGACACCGGTTTGCTACTTTCACCAGCTCAAGCTCATTTTTTCTCCTCTTGTCAAGAGAAGCCCCCCAGTCCACTAACTCTCCTAGGCAGCAAACATTTGTGGCATGAAACAAACAGCCAAATTTGTACATGTGAAGCCTCACCACATACAATGACATTAACACGTTGTACTTGAAAAAGATTAAATGTGGAAAGTGAAAATTATCATATGGATCTGAAGTTTTACCAAGGCAGAATAAGCATTTTGACACCAAACCATTTTGCCTGGAAAAAACACCAGCAGAATTAAATTTCCAGTAAGTATATCTACTGCACAGGTACTGCCGTACACCGAGCCGGTTCCACACCTGCACATCCACATCCTGAAATTTAAAAGAATGCCCTTTCTGTCGATCTCAAGCTGTTTTAAAAGTAGCAGCAACATCACCTTACTTGAAAATAATGGTGCTTAAGAAACAGAAAGGCTGGCAGGGCTGAATAAGAGCAGACTTCTATTCAGTTAAGTGCCAAGCGCTTATCAGGTCACAAGTGAAAATGACTTTGCCGGATCCCTCACCAGTCTCTGGTGCACCCACACTAGAAACTATGCTAAGATTCAGGTGCTGCAAGCAGCTTGAGACAGCAGGGGATGTTGCTGATCGGGATTAAGGGTACTGGCAGAGTGGGATAGAGAAGGGAATTTTACCCCGTGCTTCGTAACAAATCCTCTCCGTTTGGTGCACACATTAGCCAGAAAGGTCGCATGCTACTGCTTTATATGCTAACTCCATCCAAAAGGATAAACAAAAAAAAAAAAGAAGTGCTCAAGCACCTTCTGGTAATTCAGCAATAAAAAGCCCCATTCTTCTGCTGTCTTTTCTGAGGTAAAGACCCAATCTCTCTCTCTCTCTCTCAAAAAAAAAAAAAAAGAAATTATGTGAATTATTCTTTGCCTTCCTTCTTCCCTCCCCTCTAGCATGCGAGTTTATAGCCCTAGGCAGTAATTAAAGAGCCCTCATTTACATATTTATGATGCCTCAAAAATGGAGAATGTGTTTTTTTAAAGGAACAGATGTATCGACCTGTTAGACTTTTTCTTTAACCCTGAACACACTGAATGTTTTTTCTTAAAACATTACTACAAGCCCCTCTTCAGTATTAGAAAAAGAATGAAATTATGCAGTGGATATAAGGAAGATAATTTCACAAGCTTCTGCTACGCTCTGTGTCGGTTGAAAGTTCAAGTTAGAAGTTTGCAATTACTCTATCATAAATTGGACTTCCAGTAACGTGTTTAAGAGGAGTGATTTAGTAAAACATGGTGCCTACCAGTTTCTAAGGCAGCCTAAACAGCCTCTTTAAAAAAGTTTAAAAAAAAAATAATCAAACATCGCAGCACTGCTTCAAACCACTGACATGTCTAAAAATGTACTGCAGTTTGAAAGGAAGTGTGGTTTCAGTTCTGCTCTGGGATGAGCTCTCCTCATGGCCAGGGCTGCCGTCCACAGCAAGAGCTCTGCCACCCCAGGACCTGGGGAACCTGCTCGTCT